GAGTTACTTAGTGCATACCCTATTTTTCATTCTCGTATTAAAACATGGACATTGATTATCACTTCATTAGAGAGCAAGTTCAAAGTAAAGATCTTATTGTGCAATATGCATCTACAGATGAACATGTTGCAGACATTCTGACCAAAGGCCTTCACAATTCTTTGTCAAACATTGCTCCAATCTCAGCCTTGGTTCTCCCCTAGCTGAGCTCGAAGGGGGGAAGGGGGGTGTTAATAGTGTATTGTTGCTGAGGTATTCAAAGTGAGCTAGATTGGTCACGTGCTTATTAGTGTATACATGTGTGTATGTTAGCATAGTTTACTTAGAGGAGAAGTAATGTTAGTTAGCTATATAAGGATAAGCTTAAGCTTAACTTGAGATGTATAAGATTTTTCAAAAAGAAATATATTGTGCTTCTCTCTCTTCAACTTTCTCTTACTAAAACCCAAAACCTAAATCCCTTTTTCTGCCTCGGTTATTTGTTTTCCCCTGCATTATAATGTTATTCGAACTTAACCCACTCGACTATTTTTTTGGTCAATTTAGCACTCAAACTCTACTATAATAGTCAATTTCGTACCTACCGTTAAATTTGAGGCAATTTCATCCGAATTGCAGTCAAAAGAATAACATGAGGGCACACATGCTTCATATTTTAAGGGCAATATGGTCCTTTCCACCCAATCCTTTCAGCCTCCTCCAAAATGATAGGTGTTGTCACTTCCGCAGCCTCTAGGATCGGACCCCTTGCGCTTGAATCCAACTTCAGGGTCCGCATTGCTGGGCAGATCTTGAGCCCAACACTAGGTTGAGATTATTTAAAATGAGACCCATTGTTTTAAACTGAGATATGAATATAGGGGTGTGGGGGTGGGGTCAGAAGAGAGAATTAGCTATATAGGTTGGGTTGGGATTTCCTTTTTTATTTTCTAATTCTTTAGTTTTTATTGACATGAACCTTCCAATGATGATGCTTCTTTTGAAAGACCTTGAGAGCTGTGGCGGATCCAGGAATTTTCTTTCCAGGAGTCAACGCCTAAAGGGTTAAAAAATTTCTATACAAAATAGATCCATAAAAATGAAACAATAATATTATAATTCTTAATTAATAGAAAAAACTACATTACAATTGTCCACAACAAGTTTTCATATTATGAAAATGTAGCATTATAGTCTCATTATCAATACAAGCAAACACATCTTTCTCAATATAAATAAGTAAGCTATCACTCAACTATTGATCTCCAATTCGGTTGCAAAGTAGACCTTTCACAATATTCATTGCAAAAAATCCTCCCTCCACAGAAGCAGTTGCAAAAAATCCTCCCTCCACAGAAGCAGTTAAGGCTAATGTGAGAAGCAAATCAACATAATTTAATGTTCTATGCAATCCTTTCTCCACCATTTTTCTTGCAAGGCACCCCTTTGAATTGAGAAAAATCAATCCTCGTACGCATATGATTAATATCAATCTCAAGTTGATCTTCCAGTGCCAAGAGATCTCGGGGATTAAAATCTTGAGAATAAAATTCAACAAAACAGAGTAGCTTTTGTTTGTCAAAAGCTATAAATGAATCATCTAGACTCAAATATGCCAAACAAAGAAGTAACTCAATATTTACCTCACTGAAGTAATGATTTAATTCCGCAAGTTGCCACTCAATGATTTGAATAAAGATGTTGACACGATAATGATGGAGCTGTGTTATTCTAGGAGCTCTCCGATGTGATCTCCATTGAGCTGCATATGCATCATCTAGTAGCAAATCCATGAATTTTCCTTCCATGGGTCAACGTCTAAAGGGTTAAAAAATTTCTATACAAAATATATCCATAAAAATGAAACAATAATATTATAATTCATAATTAATAGAAAAAACTACATTACAATTGTCCTCAACGAGTTATCATATTCTGAAAACATAGCATTATAGTTTCATTATCAATATAAGCAAACACATCTTTCTCAATATAGACAAGTAAGCTATCACTCAACCATTGATCTCCCATTCGATTGCGAAGTGGACCATTCACAATATTCATAGCAGAAAATGCTCTCTCCACAAAAGCAGTTGCAACTGGTAAAATTAAGGCTAATGTGAGAAGAAAATAAACATAATTAAATGTTCTATGCAACTCTTTCTCCACCATTTTCCTTGCAAGGCTACCAACCTCTTTGAATTGAGAAAAATCGATCCTCGTATGCATGTGATTAATATAAATCCCAAGTTGATCTTCAAGTGCCAAGAGATCTTGAAAACCCGTGCCAAGGCATCTCGTATTTTGAAACATGTCATCTCCAAAAACCCGTGCCAAGGCTTCCCCCTCTCTTCCTCCTGCTTATATCTCTGGGGCTGTTGTTGATAACCATGCAATAGAGGTTCAAAGCAAGCTCCATCCATTTGCCCAGAAGAATCTGGACGAAAATGTCCTTCACCTGTTTGAAAACACCTTAGTTCTAGGCCTTCATTGGTTTGGCCATGTTCCTACTGAAATGGCAGAACTATTCAAGAGTGGCGCTGAAGCTTCTTTGCGTTTTTAGAGTTCTTCTGCCTTGGCTTCTCATACCTGGGTTAGTAAGAATTTGAGTCGCTCTTATCCTTCAAGTGAAGTGACGAATAACACGGTGAAGTGGGCGAATTGGATCAACAAGCTTCTTCCAAGATATGGAACTCACTGGAAGAGGGCTGGAATCTATGATGTCATCCTTCTTTCCAAGCAATCCATTAACAGGGACGAGAATCTTTCGGCCACTGCTCTGTGTTCCTGGAATTCTGCCAGTAACACCTTTGACTTCCGCCTGGACCCAATGACTCCTACCACGCTGGACATGGCTCAGATTTTCTGGTTCAGACCCCATGGAAGACCTGTGGATGCAGTTGGTGATTACCACAGAAGGAAAAATCAAGAAACACTGGCCAAGCCATTCACCATCTCTTCTGCTACAATCAACCAGAACTGCTCGTTCTCAAATTATTTGAAGAAGTTAAGCACAGAGAAAAATCGAAATCAGCAGCACATGTTATTCCTCTTGTTTTGGCTGAACAAGTTTATCTTTCCCAACCGCTTTTCAGCAGTTCTGCTTGAGTATAGACATCTGGCAGAAGCTTCGCATAATCATACTGATGTGGGGCTTAGTCCAACAGTTCTGGCCCATTTATTCAAGAATCTACATACTGCTACTCTGGAGAATCCCCTGAACCTGTCTGCTCCTGGTGCATTAAGGATGGTTCAGATCTGGCTACGAGTGTACTTTCCAGAGCTGAGGTTTTCGGATTTAGTTCTGCCTGATGATCAAGTTCTGGTGCTTCCTTTGATGACAGCAGAAGTGCCCAATCGCTCAATTAAAGAATACTTAATGTTCTTTAGGCATTGCACCAAGAGGTTTGCTGCTCAATCGTAGGTGGTACTTAGAAGGATCTATCCTTGGTTTCTGCCTGGATACAGGCTGTTTGAGAAGGAACCTGAAGAAGAAGAAGCCAGAATCGAGTTTAGGAAGAAATTCCTGAGTGTGACCCTGCCTAGGGATCTGCCCTTTGGAGGTGGGAAGCCTCCAAACTATCATATGAGGGCAGAAGTATATCATCCCAACTTCTGTGCACGACAACTTGGCTGTCCTCAGCTTATTCCACTCACATCGTATAGAAGCTGTAATCGGGCCACTTCCTGGAGAGACTCAGATGATCTGGAAGTGCACAAGGACTGCAGGTGCTCTGTGAACAAGATCAACAAAGTATGGATGCTCTATATCCATCCTGGGAGCCTAATTTCTGCAGTTCTGCAGATTTTGATGCTTGGTGGAAATCCAGATCGCAAGGTCTTCCTGCCTCAAGTACTGCCCTCAAAGTGCTCTTGGATGGCTGGGATTCCTGGGCTGTTTATGCAGGGGTAGAGGCCACGAATTTCATGGTGCAGACCATCAAAGACATCAATGCTCAAGTCATAGAAGGTAGGTAGACCTGGCAATATTGCACACGACCCGTTAACATGACACGAATTCGTACGAAATTATCAGTATTTGGGTTGAGCTTAATGGGTCGGTGAAAACGGGTGAACCCGTTAGCCACCCGTTAAGCTAACGGGTTGGGTTGGGTCAATTCGCAAATATTCGCATCCACCCGTTAAGGAGGGTAATTTGGTAGTTTTGCTAAATGTGTTTTTAAAAAAATATCCCAAGTCTCCAACTCCAACACCATTCCTCTTTTTTTTATATTCCTTTTCCATCTTTCCTCTTTCTCTCTCCGTTTACTGTCTCTCACCTCCCACTCTCCCTTTTCTTCTTCTCCTTCTCTCCATCTCTTTTTTATTTTTCCTTTTCTTCTTCCTCATTCTGTCATTCTCCATCTCTCCTTTGTTTTCTTCTCTTCTTATTCGTCTTTTCCTCTCTGTCTTTTTTTTGTGATAAATAATCTAATCTAATCTAATCAACCATTTTTTTCTCTTCTTGTGACCTCCCACTCTCTTCTTCTTCTTCTTCTCTCCATCTCTTTTTTTTTCTTCCCTTGTCTTCTTCCTCTTTTCGTCATTCTCCATCTCTCCTTTTTTTTCTTCTTCCCTTTTATCTACATCTCTCGTCTCTTCCTCTCTGTCTTCTTTTATATATAATAATCTAATCTAATCAACCATTTTTTTCTCTTCTTGCTTTTCTTTATGTAAGTTTTCTGGATGGTGTTTATGAGATGGAAATTGAGAGAAAAATGACAGAGACAGTGGTTGCTGGCTGTGTGTTTTTTTTCCTTTTTTTTTTTTCTAGGTTTATTCTTAACGGGTCGTGTTGGATATTCACGAATTGTAACGGGTCGTGTTTGGGTCTGGTATCTTTCACCCGTTAAGTTAACGGGCCGTGTCGTGTCAACCTGTTAAGTTAACGGGTTGACACGAACACGACCCGAAACCCGTTAACACGACCCGCTTGCCAGGTCTAAAGGTAGGTTCTCCATTCTATCTGTATTTTACTCATTCTGCCTCTGTGATGATGTCTAACAACTTGTTATGTCTGTAACAGATCCCTCCTTGACGAAGAACATAGGTGGACAAGCTATCCAGGCTGGAGAAGTGATTGGTAAGCTTTCAACGCTCCGTTCCTTTTATCATTTTCCTGCTGGATTGACTTCTGACTTGTTTGTTTCCTGTGCAGTCACTTCTGTCATAGCTGGTGGAGACTTGGAGCTTTCCTTCGGAGATGAGGAGGATGAAATTCTGGCAAAACAGCCAGCTGTTACGGCGACTCCTTCTGGCAGAAAGAATAAGAGAAAAGAGACTGCTCCAACCCATGATAGTGTTGTCCAGCCTGAGACTTCAGGTAAACCTTTTGAGCTTTCCAGATACTGTTCTGCTCTGTTTAACTCAATTCAGCTCATGTTCTAATCATTTATTGCATGTCCTTTGCAGCTGAAAGTCCTCTTCCCCCTTCTACTAAGTCAAAAAGGCTTAGGAAGATAGCAGTGAATACGTAGCCATAGAATCTGCAGCAGCTCCTACAACCTTTTCTGGGACAGATAAAGAGCTGAGAAAGGCTTTCGAGGCTGTGGAGCAAGAAAACAAAGCAGATGCCTCGACAGGGGATAAAGAAAAAAGCAAAGATGCTGAAGAAGAGGTGGGACCTTAGTCTTGCTGTATGGAACATGACTATTTTGCTTCTATACTTTTTCTAACTTTGACTTTTGTTCGTCTGTAGGAGGATATCCCTACTGAGGTGATAGCAGAGAGAATTGCTTTGGAGAAGAAATAGCAGGAAACTCAAAGGGCAGAACTGACAAGCTCAGGGTTGGCCCTTTTTGAAGATGCAGAGGTAGAACACTCCACTGCAGTTCTAGTACCTGCGGAGCACTCAGAGCAATCTACATTAGAGCCTGTGGCATAGGCAGAACTTCCTGTTGCAGCTCCAGAACCTAAAGTGGAGGTAGAATACCCTGTTGCTATTCCTGAACCTGAGGTAATTTTTGTTCTGTCTTTGACTGTCTAGTTTCTGTAGTTCTGTTCTGTCTTGCTTCTAATGCCTTTGTCCTTTTCAGGCGGAAAAAGAGAGAGCTGGTTCTTTGTAGATGCCTATCCATTGCATCCCTAGTCCACCAGCCACGGTCTCATTTGCTTTTCCAAACTGGCAGAATTTGGATGCTCAGCTGGACAGGCTAGAGAAGCTCAGCTCTACTCATGGCAAGGCTAAGTCCAAAGTAGTCGATGAGGCAGTGGACAGAGTAAAAATATGGCAGTCAACCGAGTTGGACTTGGATGAGAATAGAGAAGCTGTTGATCAGCTGATGAAGGATCTGGACCTACTACATAGGGAGAACATGGCTGCCAGACCTATCCTTGAGCTCAGCTTAGGCATGGAAAGAGATGTGCTCAATCTCCACACTCACTATGAAGATCTTAAGCCCTCCTTTAATGCCTCTGAATTTTGCAAGGCTACTCATGAAGCCAATTTGGCCGATTATGCAAAACAGAAGGCAGAACTGGACCAGATGGTTGCAGGCTATAAGGAGGCCAAGACCGCTGCTGACAAGTTGGAAAGACAAATTCAATAACTTCAAAAGCAGCTGGCTGGGCTGAGGGAGAGGCAGAACAAACTTGGGGCTAGACTGGGCACCAAGACCAAGGCCACTTTTCTTGTGCAGAACATGGTTGCAGCTTCTAGGCCAGCATTGGAGATTGCAGAGGCCTCTCTTCATCAAGGGATGCTTCTCCAGCAAGAAATTTCTACCAAAAAAGCCGGATTGCAAGAAACCCTTAGGAAGCTAGGGTTTTAATTTTAAATTTTGAATGTAGTAAAACTTAGTCATGAAAAATGACTATATTTAATAAAAGCTATTTATTTTTGTGGAACTTTGCTTTTTCGATTTCTTTTGCCTAAATAAAATGAAAGAAGGCAAAAATGAAATATACTGAAGTAAAATTAAAGCACAACTTTGAACAAGAATTTAAACAACAGTTCCATCCTTTTTTTTTCAATCCCAGGATCAGTTTGCACTGCCTGTGAATCCCACATAGTTGGGTAGAAAATTTTTAACCATTTGCCATTGATTGGTACTGCATGGATGTCTCCATCTCGATCCTATAATCTGTATGCCCCCAATCCAAGGACTTGCTTAATTATGAAAGGACCCTCCCATGTAGGTGACCATTTTTCATAACCAGCTATGTGTGTTCCAAGGGGCAGAACTGCTTTCCAGACTATTTCTCCTTCCTCAAAACTCATGTTTTTTAACTCTTTTGTTATAGGCCCTTGATACAGCCTATTTACATGCTAAGAGTTTGTTGAGGGTATCAATTCTGTTGTATCCAAATGTTGGTAATTTTTAACAACAATATTAACACCTTGCAAGTGCACAAATCAAATGATAGTATAGTAAGCAAGCAAGAGTCATTCCCACAGAGATTGTAATCTAAAGAGATGTTTATCAATGTCACGCAACGAAAATTAAAACACAAGGACTTCCACACACACACCAACACCAAAGGGGATTTTGATTTGATTTTGTGAATAAAACAAAACAGAATTTAAATTAGAGTTTAAGAGAAATTGGTTTAGAATCAATCAAGAAGAATAGCTAAGACTCACTATACACCTCCAAACAATCAATCAATCCACAAACAACAATAGATAATCAATTTCTAACAAGCATATGATGACGACACTCACAACAAGATCATGGCATTTTATTTGAGTTGTATGATTTTCTCTTAAGTGTATGTAAAGTGTATGGCATTTACATCAATACGTGTATTCTTAATTGAAATCAAGTATGGCATTCACTCAAATTAACAATCAAGAATCCATTAAGATCAAAGAGAATATGAGTGTCACAAAAACCCTAAAACATGGCATTTGTTATTAGGAATTCAAAAATCAATTTCTCATAACTAGTTCTTAACCCAATTATTCGTTGCAAACAAGAACACATTCAATATGGCAATTGATGACCTATGTTCTACAACAATTTAATTCCAATACATGCTTCAAAGTTAGCTACTCAAAGAAACAAAATATCAGAATTCACATAACATAGAGAAACCGAAATCATCACGCTTGTAGAAACTGAAAAATCCATTCAAACTTGTTTATAGAATTGAAATCATGTTTAGGGCTTCAAGATTAAGCCCTAACTAACAAGAAATTAGTTACTCATGTTCTTGGATGAATTCAAAAATAAATACATAAGAACTGAAAATTAAAAGAAGGAAGGAAAAGAAAGAACTCGTTGGCAGCTTTCTCCTCTTGCGCGGTTGATCACCTTAGGACGTGAAGCCCTTGTATAGGGGCCTTGGCTGGCCATTTATATCACTTATTTCAGAGTTATAAACCCTAAAATTGACTGAAAAGTCATCCAAGAAGCCTTGGTAAACAAGGAATCTAAATAGGAAAGTAAAAATCACAATTCCTAACTCCACAGGGAAATACAGTCTGCCCAATTGTCACACGATTTGGGGATCTTCGACCTTCTAGAACAATCAGTAAAAATATATTTTAGAAAGATAATTGCCTTATCTTTCCAACTATATATAGCACATAACCTGGAAAATTCTGGAAGGCTTCCGTTTCTTCACATTCACGTAACATGTATGAAACTGTCTTGTCTGCACGTGGGCTAACTTTACTTGTAATACTGTACCAATTGGCTCAGTAGAAAATTCTAGAAAAATCAAAGATTGAACTTCAAGATGTTAGCTTTCATCTCCAATTGGGCTTGAGCTAAAATTCCTCCGAAAAGTTGATTTTCCCTTAAAAACCTTCTAAGAGCGTAGAAAAGCTGAAAATCAGAAAAGTAAAGTAATAAGCCCCTTTTAAATCTAATTCTCCTACAAAACCTAATTAAAAAGAATACCTAAATGAGTATATTTATGGACTTATCGCCAAACCTTCTAGTTCTAGCAGCATTGCTTGAGAATAATCTTCTCCAACCAGATTGTGTTGCAGAGCAATTCTGAGAGATTTCACTGCTATTTCCATAGGCAGAATCGCATCATGACCATAGGTTAGAGCATATGGGGTCATGCTAGTTGCATCTCTCTTTGAAGTTCTATATGCCCAGAGAGTTTCTGATAATTTCTCATGTCATTGCTTTGGATTTTTCTCAAGCATTTTCCTAATAATGTTGATGATCACCTTGTTACTTGATTCTGCCTGTCCATTATCTTGAGCATAATAAGGAGTGGATTGAAGTAGTTTGAATTTGAATGCTTCTGCCATATCTAGCATTTCTCCAGATATGAAAGAAGATCCCCTGTCAGTTGTGATTGACTTTGGAATACCAAACCTTTATATAATCTGTTCTTCTATGAAGGTGATGATCTCTTGAGATGTAGTAGTTTTAACAGGTTTGGCTTCCACCCATTTGGTGAAATAGTCTGTAGCTACAATGATAAAGCAGTGTTGTTTGCTACTGGCTGGATAGATTTTGCCAATGAGATCCATTGCCCATCCTCTGAATGGCCATGGCTTAACTATTGGATTCATGGGAACTGAAGGAGCCTGCTGGATTGGTCCATGCCTTTGACAAGCTTCACATCCTTTGGAATGTTCAATGCAGTCTTTCATCATGGATGGCTAGAAGTAGCCATATCTTCTAATTAACCAACACATCTTCCTTCCACCTTGATGAGCACCACAGATTTCTTCATGGGTTTCTCCCATGATCTTCATGTATTCTTTTCCTAAACACCTCAAAAGTAACTCATCTTTGCTCTTTCGGACCAAATCTCCATTCCACATGAGGTAGTTTAAGGCTATGATTCTAATCCTTTTTTCAAAGGAAATGGTTGGATATTGCAAATAATTGATTATAAGCAATCTCCAATCTTCTTCAGTCATTATGGAAGCATTGGCATCTATTTCCATTCCTCTGGTCGAGATAGATGGTAGGCTTTTCTTCCTACCTTGATGATTCTCTGCACGCAGTCTTTAGGCATCTGTACTTATGTTGCTATCTGAGCCATTTCATTAGTTGCAAAGTTTTCTTCTCTTGGGATATATTCCCAAGTAGCTTCCCTGAATTATGCCAAGAGATTTCTAGCTGCCACTAGATAGACAGTTAGAGAGGGGCTCAGACATTTGTATTCTCCAGCAATCTGTTTTAATTCAAGCATTGAATCTCCTAGAATTTTGACAGATTGGATTCCTAGTTCCACCAGCATTTCTAGCCCTTTGATTAAAGCTTCGTACTCTGCCTTGTTGTTGGTGCACTAGAAATCTAGCTAGAATGAATAATAATGTTTGATTCATAGTAGATCTTCTAAAACAATTCCTGCCCAAAGGCTGAGTCTATTTTAGATCCACCAAAGTATAGCTTCCAAGGGGTGAGATGGACTGAATAAATGGGATTATTGAGACAGGTTTGAGCTCTGGTTAGCATGTCTGTATTTGCTATATCCATGAAATCCATGTTCTCAATTTCTTCTCCTAGATGGTCTGCCAAGAAATCTGCAACAGCTTGTCCCTTGATATACTTATAAGGGACATATCTGAAGGCAAATTCTGACATGGCCAGAGTCTATTTACCAATTCTCCCTCTCAAAATTGGCCTTGTTAGCATGTACTTGATCAAATCTGTCTTACCAATGATATAGGTGGTGAAAGGTATCATGTAATGTCTGAGTTTTATAGCAGTAAAGTACAAAGCCAAACAAAGCCTTTCAATGGATACTTCTGATGCAGACTCTTAATGGTCAGGTAATAAACTGTTTGCTCATTCCCTTCCTTGTTATCTTGAACTAGCAGACTCTCAATGGATACTTCTGATGCATAAACATATAACTTGAGAGGTCTACCTCTCTTTGGTGGGGACAAAACTAGTGGATTTAAGAGGTAATGTTTGATTTCCTCAAAAGCCTGCTGATGCTGTTCTTCCCACTTAAATGTCTGTTCCTGCTTCAATCTTAACAAGGAGGAAAAGGTTGGATTTTTCCTGTAGAATTGGATATGAATCTTC